CAAAAGAAAGTTTTCATTTTTGGTTGTTATCTCAAAGGCAAAAAATAAAATAGAAATGATGGCTATTAATATAGATCCCAAATTCCAAATGTAACAAATTAGTGAGCTTAAAATAGCATAATTATTTAAAATTTAATTGGTCATATATGGTTAGAGTGATAATATATAGCATTATAAAGTGCAACCAAGTAGCACTAATTTTTCCCTTCAAATTTAAATCCTTAAAGCAAATATGCGCATGTAAACCTCTTGAGAGAAGAAAAAATTCACAACATAGACTAGTTGTCAATCGGAATAAAGCATTAAACCAAATCTATTAAATCACACAAAAATAATGCAAAAGAATTCAACATTGAAAGCAATAAAATACCAACGTTAACAGCATGATTTAATGGCAAATATGAATACAAATTGAAGATTAAATCATATCAAAAGAATTTAAATTAATCTGCAGTTTTTCCAAAAATTAATAAAGCAAAACTAACGCAAAGCTCTTGACTTCAAAATTGTAGGAAGACTATATAATCAAATCATAAAAATTTCTTTTTCCTTTTGTTTTTTTCCCCTTCTTCTTTTGCAAGTTAAAGAAAAACTCATGCCAAGCTTAACAGTAACACACACAAAAAAAATGCAATTAAATTTCATAAAGTTGGTCATCTTAACGGCAATAATCACCCAACATTATTAACAACTTTATTACTAAAAATAAAAGCTGTAATCTTCATGAAATTGACATTGAAGTTTTGAAACTAAGGCTGCATAAAAATAAAAAAATAAAAAAATAAAAAAAATAAAAATCAATTAGCCAACTAGTTAAGGCTTTTACAATTGTTGTTTCCTCCAAAATTAATTTTAAAACATTTCAATAGCAATAAAATCTCATAAACCTTTCTTTCTACCTATTTTTGAAACACAAAAATCTATAATATCATCAAAATATTAATTGACAAAATCAATACACCGATTGAGGACAAAAAATTTGGTCAAATAAAAAACCAAAACTGACGCCAAAGTAAATATTTCAAAATAACCCAATAAGTGAGCACCAATGACATTGAAGTAAATTTATAGCAATTACAATATTAATACATAAAGAGTTGTAGATATAAAATTTTAAGATAATGACCGAAAGAAACCAAAACCAAAAGTAAAACAGTTTTAATTCCATACACAAAACCTTCTATTTGTAGAATTTATGGAGCTCTTCTCTACACAAAACATTTTCTACTTGTTTTCGTATTTAACTAAAGATAACTAATTTTGATTATATCCCTAATGGTTTATAGCTGCCTGAACTCCAAAACGTTGAGCTATAATAATAGTACCGCATAAATTAGTCTGTAGGTTTTTTATTTTCAAACACTATAGCAGTAATTTCCCAAATGTTAGCAACAAAATTATAAAATATAAATGTACCAACAATATTTAAAGCAATTGAAATTGAATAGACAAAATGAAAACTTTAAGCTGCATCTAACCAAAAACAAATCGTAATTTTCAATTTGAAAATCCAATACAAATGCAAAAGCTTCAGTCAAAGAGTTAAAGATATTAAAGCAATAGCAATACGGGAAGAAAACAACTGTAACGTACAAAGGCTTTAGATTGTTATAAAAAAAATATAGTTTTCCTTTTCCATAAAGCCAAATACAAAAAACATTTATATTATAAATAACTTATAAGCAAATTCGAAAGCTTTTAAGGTACAATGAAATTTAAGAAAACAAAATAATAGGTAAGTAAAAGCAAAATAAATAATAAGTAAGAAAGTGAGTTTGGTACGGTGAAGCACGTCAAAGACGTTGTCCTAAAGCCTTTGTAGCCTCCCTACGTGCATATACTGACGGTCTACAAGCCTCTAAGATACGACCCCTTGTACACAAACTCAAGATACGCTATGAGCACGTTCATAGACGAATATAGGTATCCAAGTCACAAAACCATTGCCAAAATAATAATATAAAGTAGAGAATATATATAAAGGTAGAAAAGGAGAGAATTAGTTTGTGGTGGTGATTGTGATATGTGATATTCTGATGGTGTATTGTGGTTTTTTCAAATGTGAAGGAGGAGTGGCCTTTTATATGCATCCAATAACATGTAACCTTCACCAAAATTAAGGCATTCAATATAAAAATAAAATATGAATATTAAATATTTATAACCCCCACAATAAATAAAATAAAATAGCCAAAATAATTAAATAAATAAAAAGGTTAAATTTTTAAAACCTTTTTTAAAATTCCAACAAACAGGACTGCAACCTGAACCAGCTTCAATATTTGTCTGTCTGAGTATCCAATACTAATCCGATTGCTTCCAAATTCAGATACGATGTAGTAGACATTTGGAGGAACAATTCATATGTTTCTAGCCATTTTTGTTTTGGCTTTCTTGTCTACCATTTTCTTTTCTCAATAAACTTTTTTTTATTTTAAAGACAACGAATACACGTATTATAGACATACATACATATTCTTTTTGTTTAATACACATATTTTTTAGCAAAAGTTTTACCACCCTTTTGCATGAAATTGGACCATTTGCGAATTTTTTAAGTCCAAAAAATTGAAATTTTAGTTGGGTTTTGTAATAAACAAAATTTTAAAAATTCAAAAAAAGAAAAAAAAAGAAAAAAGGATTCAATCTTATATAGTGGCCAAACTTTTCATTTGTATTTTGTAAAATTTTTGCCCAATAAAACACGTACGTATTTTATTCATACTTTTCCCTTTCCATATTTTACTAACTAGTGGTTCTTGAGAGAAGAGAGAAAGCTCAAGCAAAAAAAAATAGAGAAAAGAAAGGAGATAACATTGAATAATGTTGAATGGAAGACAAGAAAATTCAAAGTTCTAACCCAATTAGATTCAAAGTTCACAAAGGAGACAACATTACGAGCTGAGCTCGTTTAAATGGGGCATGGCACGGTCCAAGCATGATTATTGGCGGGCCGTGCTAGACACGACATGAAAGCATGGGCCGTGCTGGGATAAGAAATTAAGCCAACGGATCGGGTCGGCCCGTGGCATGACATGAGCCGTGCTTGGCCAAAACTCACTCAAAGCATGGCCCACTTAATTTATTTATTTTTGTCAAGGACCACTTTACATAAATCATCTCTTAGTTTCCTTCCCCTCTCAATATCTACATACAAGGATTTTGATTTGGTGGCTTCTTCTTCCAACAAATCATAAATTTTCATATTAAATAAATCCTCAATTTTTTTTGTCTCATATTAAATCTTCAATTAGACACTTGAGGAAAGAGAGCAATCTTTCTTTGCGAAGAATCAAACTCTACATTGTGGATTTATCAAAGGACCCCCTGGATTCTCAAGCACTGGATTTGATATAGATGCGAAGGACAAGGCATACAAGAACGAGTGTAAGATTGCAGTATCTTCTTGCATTTTTGGAAGCTCTGACTTTCTTAGGAGGCCTACAAGCAAAAAGGTTAATGAGCTAGTCTTTATTGAACGTATTTGTCGTCTCATATTCATATAAAGCATATAATCAAATGTTTTTGGTTAAATAGTTATTTTTCCTCTTTCTGTTGGTTATGTATGAAATGGGATGATGCTAAAAGAACTTGCCATCATCCTGATATTTTGTTTGGCTAATAAACATTGGAGTTAGTAATTAGACCCCTTTGTGTCGGACAAGAAATTAATAGGTGTAGAGTTGAAGATGACGAACCAAGTCCTCAGAAGAAGTAAAGTTTTCTTTCAGACAGCTCTTTTCATTAGTTTAATTTTACATAAAGGCAGCGTGATGACGAGGCATTAGAGGGCTTCTCATGAAGTATGGAGATAAAAAAGCAATTAAGTGAAGTTGTTATTCATGGAGAGCTTTGGTGCTATCTATGGTATGGCTGCGGATGAGTTTAAAGTATGATCTGATTAATGGCTGAGATACCTGCTGGGATGTTGTGAAGGTTGTGTAGATGATGTCTTATTTTTCCGATGACCTACTTTTGTTCTCAATCATCATATTGATTATTGATTGATAAAAAGCATAACTCAGCATACTTTTCTTGCACAAGGAACAACTAGATTATTTTATTAAGTTCATTCTTTTTAGCAATTTGCATGCATTTGTTGGCATTCTAATCATGTATTTTGAGTTTGTCGAGTTGAACCGTGTCCTGGCTGCATAATGCAGAACATACAATTGAATGTTTTTAATGAGACAAATTATTAATTGAACTACTTCTCTTTGTTAAATTTTTCAGGACTGTGAGCGCAGAGCACTACTAAAGCTATTCTGGCATAGGGAAGAGCCATCTCCTCCAGGACCTCCACCACCTGTTACTTGATCAGTAGTTATTATCTGCAGTTATTCTGGTAAGGTTAATTTGATGTTCAGTGTTTAGATTCATAACAGTTTCTGATTGGACATTAGTTTGGTAAAAAGCCTCTGGTCCTATTTACCAAATTCATACAATTAAATTAAATTTAAAAAGTAAACATTCGAATAAATTAATATTAAAGAAATAAAACAAAAAGTCAAAAACTTTGCGTGACAAACTATTAAATTATTTTATTTTAATTAAAAAATTTTAAAACACAAAAAATATTTCGTCACGCAAAACTCGAAAAATTTGGGTGGGTACCAAAAATGGGACACGGGAATTTTATAATTTTTTATAATTTTTTTTAAACTTTGCGCAACCAATACTTTTCATTGCTCAAAAGTTTGTGTGACCAATACTTTTCGTTGTGCAAAACTTTGCACGACCAATACTTTTCTTTGAGCAAAGTCTTTCTTTACGATCTTTGTGCGACAAAGTTTCTGTCGCTCTTAAATTTGTGCGACTGAAATGTACTTTTTGAGACGAAGTTCTATTCGTCGCGCAAATTGTAAAATGTAGTAGTGTATTTAGTCTGCCAATCGTCATATAACTATGTTTAATGTTGGATGTTATTTCACAATTCAGAAGAATAAGATTAATTTTTTTCCCGGGCCGTTTTGTTTTGACAGGAGTGGTAGAGACAGCAGCTATACCGTCTTTAGGACTTTGAGTTCAAGATTTGAGTATAGATGAAAAGTGTCACGGGATGAGCGAGCGGCGCGGTGCGACAGAAGCGAAACACAAATTTTGCCACTCAAAGCACACCTGTGAGGCCCAGGATCCCTTCGGATCCCAGTCAGCCTTCTCCCACTTCATGATATTCATGACTCTCACAACTCCACGAGAGGTTCCCCTTCAAGTGTCGTCTCCCACTAGACAACGAGTCACACTACCTTGTGACAATACAATCACTCCGCATCCGGCAACGAACCCTCGACGCCCATACATCAAGCGTTGCATAAGACACGTCAACTATATCGACCACGTCGCATGCTTAACTCCTGGCTCACTCATGTCCAAGTCAAGACATAGCGATCCAACACACCATCGGTTTACCCACATTTCTGTCGGTCATTCCTTTAGCTTCCACGATAGCCCACATCCTCAAACTATACACGCAAGCTGTCATACTTGCATGTCGCCCAAGCCTTGGCGACATATGTCTTCCGAATGTCCCACATAACCATCTATGCATTGCATGGGGTCACACCCATGCGTACCGGCATCCGAATATCTTCCTTTCATCTTGGACAAGGCCGAACCCAAGCCAAGTCCATCGAGTATTGTCAAATGCCTCGCTAGCCGATGACATAGGGAATGCCATACGTTGACCTCACTCTTTACAACGATGCGCAATACGAACGGCTCCGTGTCTTCGTACTGTCCTCGGGAATTCCTTTCCCTCAAAGACACAGATTATCCTTCAACAATCTTATGCCCGCCCTTATGACTACCTTCAATGTCATAAGGATGCTCGCTTAGTGCCACAAGGGTGTAAGCACCAGGGGTGGTGGAGAGCATGACACCATGTCACCCCCTATATAGAATTTTATGCATTTAGCCTTCTGCCAGGAGGGAACATCACCTATGCACGAGGAGTCATAATTGGGCATAACTCCCTCATACGAACTCCGAATGGCGAACCGTCAGTTACGTTACTAGCGTCTCAACATCACGAACGTCTCGGTATTCTTAGCTTCTTCAAGGTCCTCTTGTAACCTTCAGAAATACCCAAAATACCCTTCACAAGTGCAACCCGGCCAACACCAACTATTCTAGCTCTTAAGCTCTCGCCCTTCCACACTTAGACTACCTCTTAAGCGCATATATGTCCCAATGGAGTCACGGTAGCACTTGTCTATGTGCGACCCGTGACATTCTCCCCCACTGATAGTGTTGACGTCCTCGTCGACATGCCCACTGCACTGTTGCATAACAACACCATATAGGAATATCCTCTTCTCTTCGCTCCAACGACCACAAAGCACCACTGCCTTAACCCTTTCCAACTTATCTTTCAAAGTTGTATTCCTTTCCCTCTTTTGGGCCGAGACCTCTATCCTGTCGCACTCAACCATTGAACAATCACATGGCCCGCTGGTCAAGTACTTCTGCATTTCCACATTTAAAGAGATGCACCCCGCCTGGGCGTGACTCGAAAGCCAACCATGTGTCCTCCATAGCACCTCCATTTGTTTGTGCTCCTGCATTGCCATACTTCCAAGGCGTTCGAGGTTCTCCCCTACTTATCTCGTCGGCATACCTTCACCTCAAGGTGCCTCCATAGCAAAGTTCCACAACACTTAGGCCATCACAATTCACCAAGGTTAGACATCATCCCTACTACGAGTATAACCACCTGACTACCAACACCCCAAACTCGGACTGGCAGAACCACTTCTATAGCATCCACATGGGAACAAGTAAGATGTCAACACCCAAGTTACTCCAACACTGTCTGCCATCAAGTGCGGACAAACTCCATGTCCTTAGAAACCATGCTCACAAGTGAGACTCCGGGATCCACCTCTTTGGAACACTTCCTCGTTTCCGAAAATCTGTTAGCAACCTTGTGTCAAACATTGTGCCTCACCCACCCGTTCTCAACAAATGTAAGAGCAACCACTTAAGTGACTCCTTCATTAAAGCCTAGCCCGTCAGCAACTTACTCCCCCAATGGAGCCTAGCCCGTCAGCGACTTACTCCCTTCGAAGACTGCACCATTTCGGTCTTGAGCTCCCACAACCTTTCCCCGAATAAAGGCCTTGCACCATCCGTTCAACACTCATCACCAACCGACTTCAACACAACTGTTTATGGCATGCGATGGTTTGAGTATTGCTAGTCTTCAACACTCTCACCAAGTTCCGCTACCATTGTCTTCAATGTAATTTGTGGGTCTCCCCCACTTAACTCGTCGATGCACCCTCACGTCAACGTACCTCCGAAGCAAACCTCTACAACACTTTAGGCCTTCGCAACTCACCAAGGTTCAATGTCATCCCTACTACGAGTAGAACCACCTAACCAACGCCTAAACTCGAACTTGGTAGAACTTACTTCCGTAGCATCCCCAAGGGAACAAGTAAGACATCCTCCCTCAAGTTACTCCATCTTCGGCCTGCCACAAAGTGCGGATGTACTGTGTCCTTAGCCACCATCCTCACAAGAAAGACTCTGGGATCCACCTTTGGAACACTCCAGCATTCCAAATATTAGCTCGCAACCTTGTGTCAAACATTATGCTTCACCCCCACGTTCTCCACAGTTGCAAGAGCAACCACTTGAGCGACTTTTTTTTTAAAGCCTAGTCCTTCAGCAACTTACTCCCTCAATGAAGCCTAGTTCGTCAGCAACTTACTTCCTTCAAAGACAGCCCCCTTTCGGTCTTCCGCCCTCACAAATCTTCCCTGAACAAGGGTTTCGCACTGTCTACTCAACACTTGTTGCCAACAAAGTTTACCACAACCTTCAATGGTATATCATGGTTTGAGTGCTAGTCAATTTTCAACACTCTCACCAAACTCGTGCTCCCATCCTCCCCACATCATGAACTAAACGAGCAACATCACTTCATCACAAGTCAGAACCTATGCCTACTCGACTTTCGGGCGCTTGGTGCACGGATTAGAAAACTAGGCAACCGAGCAGCAAAACCAACCTTCATCCCACATCTTAGAGTCATCCTGCTTGATGTCTTCTCAAAACTTCAAGGCAATCTTTTTGGATAACTTCACCCTTCCATAGGATCTAGCACCAAGACGGGTTTCCAACAACCGTCACACAACTTAATTCCAACAGTCATCTACAGTGACGTTGGGTTCTTCATCCAACTTCGCAAGTCCACTACCCATCACAGGCAATGACCTGCTTCCTTGCTATCAAAGTTTCTCCATCACCAATCTCTTCTAGGTACGAATCCCTCAAACAGAAACCACCATCTGAATCGATCGGCTCTAATACCACTTGTCACGGGATGAGCGAATGGCGCGGCGTGGCGGAAGCGAAACACAAATTTCGCCACTCAAAGCACACCCGTGAGGCTCAGGATCCCTTCGGATCCCAGTCAGCCTTCTCTCACTTTATGATATTCATGACTCTCACAACTCCGCGAGAGGTTCCCCTTCAAGTGTCGTCTCCCACTAGACAACAAGTCACACTACCTTGTGACAATACAATCACTCCGTATCCGGCAACGAACCCTCGACGCCCATACATCAATCGTTGCATAAGACACGTCAACTGCATCGACCACGTCGCATGCTTAACTCCTGGCTCTCTTATGTCCAAGTCAAGACATAGCGATCCAACACACCATCGGTTTACCCACACTTCTGTCAGTCATTCCTTTAGCGTCCACGATAGTCCATATCCTCAAGCTATACAAGTAAGGTGTCATACTTGCATGTCGCCCAAGCCTTGGCAACATATGTCTTCCGAATGTCCCACATAACCATCTATGCATTGCATGGGGATGCAACACATGCGTACCGGCATCCGAATATCTTCCTTCCATCTTGGAAAAGGCTGAACCCCAAACCAAATCCATCGAGTATTCTTAGCTTCTTCAGGGTCCTCGCGTAACCTTCAGAAATACCCAAAATACCCTTCATAAGTGCAACCCAGCCAACACCAACCATTCTAGCTTTTAAGCTCTCACCCTTGCACACTTAGACTACCTCTTAAGTGCATAGATGTCCCAACGGAGTCACGGTAGCACTTGTCTTTGTGCGACCCGTGACAAAAGGCAGAGATACTGTTTATTGATCAAAGGTATGTATTATCACATTGTAATTCTACTTGTAATGTTGTGTGTTGGAATGATAATTTTATGAGGGTCTAATTGATTCAGTTATTGTTTTGCTAGTATTACGACTGCAGCTGTACTTGCAGTTCTGTATACTGTTGCCAGCACTTTCCAACCGTTACCTCAAGACATTTATCGCTATGGTACTGATTTTTCCAACTCCTTTTTTACTTTATAGTAAGACAACAGAGACACAAACACACACACACACACACCACACACACAGAGGTGAGAAAGGGTTCATGTCATCCCGTTTTCTGGTAGTTGTCTCAATGAGATAACACTTTTTATGGCTTATATATGGACTGCGATTGATGCACAATACTGAATTAAGGATATTTAAATTTGGCTAGTAGGTCATTATAACTACATGCTTTGTCATTAAGTAGATACAGACTTTTACCATATAGTCGCAAAATTTTGATTTGAAAGCTCATTATTGCCAGATTCTAGTTTGTTTAAGCCTATATCTAGACTGTGACCCATCGAGCTAATATTAGCTATTGCTGTTTCAGATTTGAAGGACCCTTTCAGTCTACAGAAGGGGTGGCTTTTGTGGGCAGAGATTGGTCTTACTGGTGCAATAGCTGCCATCGCAGTGACAGGGGCTGCAGCGTCCTTGTTCAAGGGGGAGAGCCTAGAGAGAGAGGTTTGAATTGATTCCTACCTATGATTTCTCTCTCGTTATAAAGTGCAGTGGACACAAATTCTATGATATTTCAGGATCAATTCCACCATGTAAGGAATCATATATGTGATTTTATTAATTTTTACTTGGTTTCAGGAGGACGCTCTAGTTAGCTTATTTCCACTGATTGGATCTTCAAGTGTCAGGCACTTTACAAGGTCTTTTCATTTTTGTGCATGTTCTGGGAATTATAATATTCATAGGCTTAGGTGTTGAAACTTTTCAGCACTAGGACTTGAGGATTCAGCAAGTTGATTCAGCTGTTGTTAAATCTACATTGCAGCACTGCTTGCTTGTTGGGTGTCACTGGAGTTTTGGCTCCGATTCTTGAGGAAACTGTATTTCGGGGTTTTTTTTTATGTTCTCCATGACTCAGTGGTATTTTTCCATGTTTTCCCTTTTATGGAGTTGCATAATATGCCTACAATGATTGATTATTTCTCTCTACATTGCTCTAAACATGCATGGTAGCTTCCCTAAACTTCCCTACAATTATTTCGAAAGTTTTCTCAATAATTTCTGTCCATAGATTTTGTTTTCAATTTTCAGAAGTTTAAACTAGTGTGTTGGAAAGTGGAGGCTGGATTAACTAGTAATCTGCCACCCAGGTGACATTGTTTGGTTCACTCCTAAAATTGCTTTGCTTAATTAATTAGCCAGATTCACAAAATTCTACAAACAAGAGTGAAGCCTGAAGAAGTGTACAGAAATATATGGTAGAAGAAACTGTTTTTGTGGCACTTATGTAGTAAAAATAGTAGAATCATCCAAATATTTGATATAAGGTTTTGTTGAGTTGGCTAAGGATGGGATTAAAATTCCTTGGCTTTAGCTAGTTTTAGTATAGTTAGTTATGTTATTGGTGTCAACTGTTCATTCCTGGGTATCTAGCCCTTACAAGTCCTTTTTGCAGGGTACCTACTCCAGTTGCTATTGGAATAAGTGCAGTTGTATTTGCACTTGCACATCTCACTCCGGAAGAGTTTCCCAGTTGTTTGTGATAGGTAACATGTTTACTTAAAAAAATTTAAAAACAAAAGTCTACATCACCTTCAACATACATTAATGTGGTTTAGATATCCTCGAGCACAATTTATCTCATGTACTATATGATCTATATAGGCTCTGCTGTGGGATTGTCATATGCCCTCCTCGAAACTCATTCAGGGATAAATCCCTTCCTGACGTCACATAAAATAGCACTTTTGCCTTAGGGATGAGCAGAAGAATATCTCAAAGATATCTCCATAGTTTTATGAGTGCTATATGAGTTACGCAGTATGGATTGTTTCTACCACATTGAACTTCCTTCATGGGATAGCCAATCACATAAGTTCGGTTACCTCCCTAGGTGACTCCCTTATGGGCTTAAGCACATGCCCCTCGACATTTTGCATTAATGGCCTCCTCCACGAGGCATGCATATCAAGACTAGCTAGCCTTCACAAGGCATATGTAATGTAGGTCATGTCTTTGTTCTCCATTTTAGCGAGCTTTAAACCTGCATGTTATTAAAATATTTCCTACACAATCTTGCACACAAATAATTAGTGGATTTTGACCTTAGTATAATTGGAAATATAATACGCATTGGTATACATTTAAGTATAACGGAAGTACATCATACATTAAATATTATGATCAAGAGTACCTCTCAAGTCCATGAAACTTTGAGTACACCTGCTACCACTTATGAGCAACAATATAACAAATAATTCATTAAATAATTTTAACTATAAACACTGAGTATTTCAGGATACTCTTACTCCCTTTTGTGCACTCTAAGTGGCTGAATCATGATTGCATATCCAAGTTGAAATTGTATCTTGTCGATTCTCAGTATGAACCTATAAGACAATAAGAAGTCTCTACCAAAATTGTATACCAAGGTAATCATCAGTTGCACACATTTTCATAAAATTGAAGACAAGTTAGTCTCATAATAAAATTTTATAATGAAAATAAATTTCACACGGACATAACATGTTTGCCAAGGAAATATAAAAATTATTATGTCACTAAATGAATATAATGAATTTTCCCATGAGAGCATAAAGAAATTAAAAACACACACAAAATTATGGGAAAGAGAGAAGGAAATCCTACATAAAAGAATCTAATATTTTTTAGGTATAAAAGCAAAAACTGCTTTATGTTAGTAACAAATAAAATTACAGCATTAAAGTTCCCATTTAGGAAAATTCAACTTCCACAAATTGGTCTACACGTTTTAAAATAAAAATATTAATAATTATCAAACACAAATAATGTAAGCATTTGAGCGCTAATTAAGATAAAATAAATCTGAATAAAGGAGATATCAAAACTTATACAATAAATATACAAGATAACTTCAGTTTTAAAGAGGTAATCAAACCACTCAAAATCTGGGAAATTAAATTCAATATAAAATTGAAATTAATTTTGTATTTTGAACTACCCACAAAAATTCCAACAATTACTCACATAGTTAACAAAAAAACTCAACCCCCCACAAATTAAGGGTAGTCTCAAAATATATGAAGTACGCTATACCAAAATTTTATTTATTTTTAAATTCATAAGATATGCTAACTCACAATCATATTGATAGTTAATGTATATATAATAGTGAAACCACCGAAAGCCTCACAAAATAAATATATATAAAAAAAAATGAAAAAAAAATTTAGGGTTTGAAAACCTTATACCAGAACTCAAAATTGAATGCCACTTACAGTGATATAATTTATTATTTCATTTCAGTTTTCTCAAGAAGGTTTCACAATGTACTTCTTGGAAATTAACTCAATGTGGCAACCGTCAAGACTTCACAATCAGAAAGAAATTAGTTCACTCAATATATTTGTAACGAAATTAACTCAAGTAAATAATATGAAGCAGCTAAAAGTTCTTAACGTGATTTTACATATGTGACATAAAATAATTCTTAATAATGTCCAAGACATTTAGAAGCCAGCACAAAAGAAAGTTTTCATTTTTGGTTGTTATCTCAAAGGCAAAAAATAAAATAGAAATGATGGCTATTAATATAGATCCCAAATTCCAAATGTAACAAATTAGTGAGCTTAAAATAGCATAATTATTTAAAATTTAATTGGTCATATATGGTTAGAGTGATAATATATAGCATTATAAAGTGCAACCAAGTAGCACTAATTTTTCCCTTCAAATTTAAATCCTTAAAGCAAAAATGTGCGCATGTAAACCTCTTGAGAGAAGAAAAAATTCACAACATAGACTAGTTGTCAATCGGAATAAAGCATTAAACCAAATCTATTAAATCACACAAAAATAATGCAAAAGAATTCAACATTGAAAGCAATAAAATACCAACGTTAACAGCATGATTTAATGGCAAATATGAATACAAATTGAAGATTAAATCATATCAAAAGAATTTAAATTAATCTGCAGTTTTTCCAAAAATTAATAAAGCAAAACTAACGCAAAGCTCTTGACTTCAAAATTGTAGGAAGACTATATAATCAAATCATAAAAATTTCTTTTTCCTTTTGTTTTTTTCCCCTTCTTCTTTTGCAAGTTAAAGAAAAACTCATGCCAAGCTTAACAGTAACACACACAAAAAAAATGCAATTAAATTTCATAAAGTTGGTCATCTTAACGGCAATAATCACCCAACATTATTAACAACTTTATTACTAAAAATAAAAGCTGTAATCTTCATGAAATTGACATTGAAGTTTTGAAACTAAGGCTGCATAAAAAAAAATAAAAATAAAAAAATCAATTAGCCAACTAGTTAAGGCTTTTACAATTGTTGTTTCCTCCAAAATTAATTTTAAAACATTTCAATAGCAATAAAATCTCATAAACCTTTCTTTCTACCTATTTTTGAAACATAAAAATCTATAATATCATCAAAATATTAATTGACAAAATCAATACACCGATTGAGGACAAAAAATTTGGTCAAATAAAAAACCAAAACTGACGCCAAAGTAAATATTTCAAAATAACCCAATAAGTGAGCACCAATGACATTGAAGTAAATTTATAGCAATTACAATATTAATACATAAAGAGTTGTAGATATAAAATTTTAAGATAATGACCGAAAGAAACCAAAACCAAAAGTAAAACAGTTTTAATTCCATACACAAAACCTTCTATTTGTAGAATTTATGGAGCTCTTCTCTTTTTTTTTCTTTTTCCAAAACGATAATTCCATTTCATTCAACAGTAAAAGAGGATACACCAATTGCCATTCTAGAAACAAAAGACAAGACCACCGTCTGCATCTGCCGCATCAGGAATCTAATGTCATGCACAATACCTTCAACCCGAGAGTCAGAACAGCCAACCCCTTTCAGCATATCAATCATGAGCTTGGAGTCAGACTCCAGCACCACCCGCTGCCAGCCCTGGTCCACTCCCGCACACAGACCCGCCCGTAATGCCTCAGCTTCAGCAACTATTGCAGCGCCGCACGCACACCTCCTTCACCCCAAGCCCCTTTATGTTAGAATACAGAGACTATTATCTTGTATTTTAACTCTTAGATGAGAAAATGTAATCTGAAGAAAATGAGAGAGAGAGAGCTTAGGGAAGAAGAAGAGCTAGCAGAATATTAGCTCAGCTCCCACACAAATCATACGTATATTGCTTCTGACAAAACCGTTAGGAATTGGAACATTCCTATTACATCATTTACAGATCAGCCATTCATTCACTACCCTATGAGATAGAGTCACCTGGCATGCACAGTTACATCCTGACTGCACAGTTGGACTGTTATCCAACGGCTACATTTTCAAATGGAAAATAATAAACTATCTCAGCAGCTGCACTTATAAACTAACACTCCCTTCTAAGTGTTGTGCTGAGATAACACCTAAAGCCTTCCTTAGATACTCATACCGATCCCTTGCTAGAGGCTTGGTGAATATATCAGCAACCTGTTCTTCAGTTTTGCAATAAAGCAAATCAATCTCACCATTGTGAAGAGCATCTCGAATGAAATGAAACCTGCGATTGATGTGTCTAGTTTTGTGATGATGAACAGGATTCTTTGATATAGCAATAGCCGAAGTGTTGTCACACAACAACTGAGTTGGTTCTACCTGTTCTTCACCAAAATCTGATAGCACAAATCTGAGCCAAACAGCTTGAGTGGTTGCCTCTGCTGCGCTCATGTATTCTGCCTCTGCAGTGGAGAGAGCCACACTGCTCTGCTTAATTGAGGCCCAAGAAAACACTCCTGACCCCAAATTAAATGCATAGCCTGATGTGCTCCGCATATCATCTTCACTACCACTCCAATCGCTGTCACAATAGCCAATTAACACAGCTCCTTTTCCTTTCTCATAAGCAATGCCATAGCTTATAGTACCTTGTATATATCTTAGCACCCTTTTCGCTGTTCCCATGTGCTTCTTGGTAGGATTGTGCATAAATATGGCCAAAAGACTAGATGCAAACATAATGTCTGGTCTTGTTGCAGTTAGGTAGAGCAAGCTTCCTACCAATTGTCTATACAAAGTCTCATCAGCTAGGTCACTCCCATCCACTTTAGACAACTTTTCATTCACTGCCAATGGTGTTGCAACCGATTTGCAGTCCTTGAGTCCAAACTTCTCTAGCAAAGTCTTTGCATATTTCTTCTGATGCAAGAAAATGCAAGTGTCTGTTTGTAAAACCCCAAGGCCGAGAAAATGATGAAGCAATCCAAGGTCTGTCATTTCATATTGTCTCATCATCTCATCCTTAAATTCAAGCATCATCTCCTTTGAGCTTCCTGTATAGATAATGTCATCTACATAGAGTGACACAATGAGAATACCACTTGAAGACCTTTTAGTGTATAAAGTAGCTTCACTTAAGCTCCTATGAAAACCAGCTCTAGTAAAATAGGAATTTATCTCTTCATACCAAGCTCTTGGAGCTTGCTTCAAGCCATACAAAGCCTTCTTAAGCCTATACACCTTATCTTCACTTCCTTGAATCACAAAACCAGATGGTTGATCCACATACACCTCTTCACTTAGTACTCCATTGAGAAAGGCAGATTTCACATCTAACTGGAAAAGCTTCCAATTTTTCTGTGCAGCCAATGCTACCAAAGCTCTCACAGTGTCAAGACGAGCCACTGGTGCAAAGGTCTCATTGAAGTCTATTCCAGGCTTTTGAGAATATCCCTTTGCAACCAGCCGAGCCTTATTCTTCTGCACAGATCCATCTAGGTTTAGTTTAGTCTTATAGACCCACTTGACTCCAATAATTGGTTTATCAAATGGTCTAGCTACAAGCTCCCATGTATTGTTCTTTTCAATCATGGTGATTTCATCTTCCATTGCTTTCTTCCAAGAGTCATCCTTGGCTGCCTCTTCAAAACTTTCTGGTTCTATAATGCACATATTGCATTTTTCATAAATTTCTGCAATGCTCTTGTATTTGAGAGGAGTATGATCAACATCCTGCAGACCTATGACCATTTCTTGATCACTGTTTTCAGTGTTTAAACTAGGCACCTCATTCACTTCCAATTGTTCTTCAATTTCACAAGAACTCCCTTCTTCTCCTTGTGCTTCTTCTCGAATTCCAGTGAGCTGAATGTTCACACTAGTTTCCTTCTTTGCATTCCAATCCCAACACTCATTTTCACTAAATATTACATCTCTTGAAACAATCACCTTCTCAGTTTCAATGTTGTACAGCCTGTAACCTTTCTCACAGCTGCCATACCCTAAGAAGATACACCTCTTGCTTGAAAGATCTAATTTCTGTCTTTGTTGTTTTGGTACATGAGCATAACATAGTGAGCCAAATACCTTTAGATGTTTAATCCCTGGCTTCCTTCCACTATAGGCTTCGAATGGTGTCTTTTTGCTCAAAGCTTTAGTTGGACACCTATTCAAAATATACACAGATATGTTGACTGCCTCAGCCCAAAAATCAAATGGAATTTTCTTCTCCAACATCAAACACTTGGCCATTTCTACTATGGTTCTATTTTTCCTCTCTGCCACACCATTTTGCTGTGGTGTGTATGGGGTTGTAAGCTGTCTTTCAATTCCTACATCTTCACAGAAACTGTCAAACTCCACTGAAGTGTATTCTCCCCCTCTATCACTTCTCAACTTTTTCAGTTTATAACCACTTTGCAATTCCACAGTGGCCTTGAATATCTTAAACACAGTTAGAGCTTCAGATTTGTGTCTTAAGAAATAAACCCAACACATCCTTGTGCAATCGTCTATGAAAGTGAGAAAGAACCGATTTCCAGCTTTGGTAACTGTCTGCATAGGACCACAGATGTCACTGTGAATGAGTTCTAGTGGAGTTAGTGCTCTAGTGGTAGCCTCTTTTGGAAATGCTTCTCTACACTGCTTGCCTAGAACACACCCCTCACACACCTCTTTAATCCCTTTAATTTCTGGTAGTCCTACTACCATATCTTCTTCTTTCAACAATTTCAGACTACTCATATTGAGATGTCCAAATCTTCTATGCCAAAGTTCAGTGGAATGATCTACACTTGCTCTATAAGCTAAGTGCATTTCAGCCTGCAGTTTCAAGGGAAAGCTTCTATTACCTCTCATTTGTACCTTTGCAACCAGATTTGAATAAGAGCTGTCATTGTAGATTTCCACCTTGTGATCTCCAAATACCAAATAGTAGCCATGCTCTATCATCTGACCCACACTGAGTAAGTTCTCTTTCAGTCCAGGTACCAGCATTATTTCTTTGATATATCTCTTGCCTACTTTGGTTTCAACCACAAGAGTGCCCTTTCCAGTTACATCTACAAGCTGTCCAGTTCCCATTTCAACCTTTGCAGTCACCTTTCTGTCAATATCCACCAGCAAATCCTCTTTTCCTGTCATGTGATTACTACACCCACTGTCCAAATACCAGATTTCTTCATCCCTTGTTATACCAGCACCAATTGCATTTCCAGCATAGAACATAGTTGGTGCAGCTTCCACTTGAGTAGCATAGTTAACCTGCTGTGGTGTTTTCTTGCTATAGCAATCCTTTGCAATGTGTCCAAGTTTATCACAGTTATAACACTTTGGTTTGCCCTTGAATCGACACTCACCAAAGTGTAACTTACCACAGTGCTTGCAGGGAGTTTTAGTGCCTTCACTTGTCTTGTTATCCCATTTCTTGCCTTTAGACTTCCAATTCTTATGTTGCTTATTATTCTGATCTCCAGTTTTAGCCGATTTAGCATCCACACTAAGGCTAGCAAATGCCTTCTCTGTTTTGTTTTCAGAGTGTCTATCTAATCTCAACTCAAAACTCTTTAGTGAGGCTACAACCTCCTGCACCTCAATCTCATTCAAGTCTCTTGAGTGTTCAATAACTGAGCAGATAGAATCATAAGCAGATGGTAGGCTAATCAACAATTTCTGTACTACTCTTTCTTTAGGTAGTATTTCTCCATAGCTACGCATTTGATTAATCACATCAAATAGTTTGGTAATATAGACAGACAAGGATTCATCATCTCTCATTCTAGTGTACTCAAACTCCCTACGCAGACTCTGTAATTTCACACTTCTTACCTGTTTGTCACCTCGAAATTCCTGCATCAAGAGATCCCAAGCTCCTTTAGAAGTTTCTTCATGAGAGATCCGGGGAAAAATCTCATCAGATACTGCCCCTTGAATCAGCCCCAATGCCTTTGCATCTTTCATCAGCTTCTCTGTTTCAGAACCACTTGAAACATCTCTTTTCATCTTCTGCTCAGCAGATTCACCAGCTCCCTTTGATTCTTCCTTTTCCTTCTTCTTTTCACCAGATTCATCAGCTCCCTTTGAATCTGACCACTCTAAGCCCTTTTCAACCAGATCCCATAATCCATGAGACCTGAAGATGGTTCTCATCTTTATGCTCCAAAACTCATAATTATTTCCATTGAAGATTGGCGCTCTCACCTCGCCTCCAGATCCAGATCCAGCCATGGTAGACGCAGACCTTCACACACAGCTTCAAAACGCAGCTTCCTTTCTTCACAGATTCAAAACGCCCAGCTAAACAATCCAACCTGGCTTTGATACCATGTTAGAATACAGAGACTATTATCTTGTATTTTAACTCTTAGATGAGAAAATGTAATCTGAAGAAAATGAGAAAGAGAGAGCTTAGGGAAGAAGAAGAGCTAGCAGAATATTAGCTCAGCTCCCACACAAATCATACGTATATTGCTTCTGACAAAACCGTTAGGAATTGGAACATTCCTATTACATCATTTACAGATCAGCCATTCATTCACTACCCTATGAGATAGAGTCACCTGGCATGCACAGTTACATCCTGACTGCACAGTTGGACTGTTATCCAACGGCTACATTTTCAAATGGAAAATAATAAACTATCTCAGCAGCTGCACTTATAAACTAACACTTTAAACACCCCAGATGCATCACGTATCACCCAACCCCACCCACCACGCAAAGTTTGTGATGTCTATGCCCCGTCACAATTGATTTTAACAAAATCCATCGGAGGGCAGGACCTTTGTTGAGTGCCCAGGCTCCGATGTTCTCCGCCACCTCCTTGGATGGGTGTCGTCTCCTTTCCCTTCTCCCTAGTCTGCAAAAAAATCAGTTTGCTGCTTGATCATGATCTCCACAGCCTCAGGTGGGTGAATCGGACGCCCTTCAAATACCAGACTGTTTCAACACTTCCATAGCCGCCAGAGCCCGTATGCAATGGAGCTCAGCAGTTCATCCTTTCTAGACTCCTGTGCAAAACGATCACACAACTCCAACCATATGTCTGCAAAGGTTCCCCCCTGCAACGACCGAACATCTAATTGAATGGGGCATGCAAACCAGAACAGCCGTGCATAGTTGCACTGGAACAAGAGATGGGCTACCGACTCATTGGGTTGCTGACAAGATGGGCACGTCAAATCAACCTGCATACCCCGCTGCCTCAAATTACATCGCACAGCTAAATAGTTCCGACAACATCTCCAGATGAAGTGACGAATCTTGCCAGCCACGTTCAGTTCCCATATTGATTTCCATAGCCGCCGTCCTCCTCTATCAACACTAGTTCCTCCATCCCCTCGTCTTCCAAGGAGACCATTGGAATCCAACTCCACCGCCACACGATACCTCGACTTCACAGTATAGAGCCCATCTTTTGTAAAATGCCACATCAAACGATCCGAACATCCAAATCGACTAAGTGCCATGGCCAGAATGGAATCAGCCTCCTCCTTATTAAATAGACGACTTACCGTATGCACATCACATTGGCGCAGAACAGGATCAATAAGATCCGAAACCTTCTCCGGCAGCAAAGGTGATGGTGTCCTAACCATGAAGTGGTAGGGCATTGGCAACCACGGATCTCGCGTAACATGGACTGACTTTCCGTCTCCAATACGCCATCTTAGCCCTACCCCTGCCGGCCTTTTAAAATACTTCGCCATCCCCACAACGGCTTCCGCCCAAGCTGTGCCTCCATAAAAGAGCCATTAGGAAAATATTTCGCTTGCAGCACCTGATGAAGCAGCGAACTTGGCTGTGATAATAAACGCCAACCAATCTTGGCCAGCATAGCACGGTTGAAGCAAAATAGGTCCTTAAAACCCAGCCCCCCACAGTCCTTCCTCTGTGCCAGCGTCTTCCATTTTGCCCAGTGTAACCCCTTACCAGTATCTTGGCTGCCCCACCAGAGAGAAGAGAGCGCACGAAGGATATCCGCACACACACCTTGTGAAAGTAGGAAGCAGGACATAGTATATGTGGGTAGTGCAAGTGTCACCGCTTTCAACAACACTTCCTTCCCAGCCATGGTTAGAAAATTCTCTGCCCATCCATTCACCCGTGTGACCACCTTCTCCCTGATCTCTTCAAACACCACCTTCTTAGAGTGGCCAAACTCAGATTGGAGGCCCAAGTATTTCCCAAAACCCCGCCCCTGGGGAATATTGAACCGTCTTGCCAAACGATCCCGTGTTTCTTGCGAACAATTGGTACTAAAAAAAAGAGAACTTTTGTCAAAGTTAACTTGTTGCCCAGAGCCTTTTGCATACAGATCAAGGACGTGCTTAACCATATCTATTTCTCCGTCAGTGGCTTTACAGAATAAGATCGAATCATCTGCAAATAACAGGTGAGAGAGAGCTGGGCTACTGCTGGACACCTTGATACCATGCAACAGCCCCCTCCCCGCAAAGTGGTGTAGTAGCGCTGTCAGTCCCTCCGTGCAAATCAAGAACAAATATGGAGACAATGGGTCCCCTTGCCGCAAACCACGTTGAGGCTGGATAAAACCCGACGGCATACCGTTCACCTTAATACTGTAAGAAACTGTAGTGACACACCCCATCACCCAATTGCACCAGCGATTAGCAAACCCCAACTTCCGCATCATGGCTAGTAGAAAGGGCCATTCCACATGATCGTATGCTTTCGCCGTATCCAACTTAATCACGACATCAGACTCCGCCCCACGTGTTTTTGTCTTTAAAGAATGGAGCACTTCATGGACAATCAAGACATTGTCCGTTATTTGCCGACCGGAGACAAATGCCGTCTGATTCGGGCTAATAACGTGGGAAAGCACCCGTTTCAGGCGATTTGTTAAGACCTTCGATATCACTTTATATATGACATTACATAACGAGATCGGTCGTAGTTGTGTCATTCGAGTAGGACTCGCCACCTTTGGGATTAACACAACATGGGTATGATTAATTTTTTTTCAACATATGCCCTGTTCGGAAGAATGCCAAAACTGCTGCCACCACATCCTCTCCCACAATGTCCCAATAATTATGATAAAAACCCCCAGTGAGCCCATCCGGCCCGGGTGCCTTTGTTGGAGGTATTTGAAAAAGAGCCTCTTTAATTTCATTCTCTACACAAAACATTTTCTACTTGTTTTCGTATTTAACTAAAGATAACTAATTTTAATTATATCCCTAATGGTTTATAGCTGCCTGAACTCCAAAACGTTGAGCTATAATAATAGTACCCCATAAATTAGTCTGTAGGTTTTTTATTTTCAAACACTATAGCAGTAATTTCCCAAATGTTAGCAACAAAATTATAAAATATAAATGTACCAACAATATTTAAAGCAATTGAAATTGAATAGACAAAATGAAAACTTTAAGCTGCATCTAACCAAAAAAAATCGTAATTTTTAATTTGAAAATCCAATACAAATGCAAAAGCTTCAGTCAAAGAGTTAAAGATATTAAAGCAATAGCAATACGGGAAGAAAACAACTGTAATGTACAAAGGCTTTAGATTGTTATAAAAAAAATATAGTTTTCCTTTTCCATAAAGCCAAATACAAAAAACATTTATATTATAAATAACTTATAAGCAAATTCGAAAGCTTTTAAGGTACAATGAAATTTAAGAAAACAAAATAATAGGTAAGTAAAAGCAAAATAAATAATAAGTAAGAAGGTGAGTTTGGTATGGTGAAGCACGTCAAAGACGTTGTCCTAAAGCCTTTGTAGCCTCCCTACGTGCATGTACTGACGGTCTACAAGCCTCTAAGATACGACCCCTTGTACACAAACTCAAGATACGCTATGAGCACGTTCATAGACGGATATAGGTATCCAAGTCACAGAACCATTGCCAAAATAATAATATAAAGTAGAGAATATATATAAATGTAGAAAAGGAGAGAATTAGTTTGTGGTGGTGATTGTGATATGTGATATTCTGATGGTGTATTGTGGTTTTTTCAAATGTGAAGGAGGAGTGGCCTTTTATATGCATCCAATAACATGTAACCTTCACCAAAATTAAGGCATTTAATATAAAAATAAAATATGAATATTAAATATTTATAACCCCCACAATAAATAAAATAAAATAGCCAAAATAATTAAATAAATAAAAAGGTTAAATTTTTAAAACCTTTTTTAAAATTCCAACAAACAGGACTGCAACCTGAACCAGCTTCAATATTTGTCTGTCTGAGTATCCAATACTAATCCGATTGCTTCCAAATTCAGATACGATGTAGTAGACATTTGGAGGAACAATTCATATGTTTCTAGCCATTTTTGTTTTGGCTTTCTTGTCTACCATTTTCTTTTCTCAATAAACTTTTTTTTATTTTAAAGACAACGAATACACGTATTATAGACATACATACATATTCTTTTTGTTTAATACACATATTTTTTAGCAAAAGTTTTACCACCCTTTTGCATGAAATTGGACCATTTGCGAATTTTTTAAGTCCAAAAAATTGAAATTTTAGTTGGGTTTTGTAATAAACAAAATTTTAAAAATTCAAAAAAAGAAAAAAAAAAGAAAAAAGGATTCAATCTTATATAGTGGCCAAACATTGAATAATGTTGAATGGAAGAAAGGAAGGAGATAACATTGAATAAAAAAAAGAAAGAAAGGAAGGAGATAACATTGAATAAAAAAAAATAGAGAAAAGAAAGGAGATAACATTGAATAATGTTGAATGGAAGACAAGAAAATTCAAAGTTCTAACCCAATTAGATTCAAAGTTCACAAAGGAGACAACATTACGAGCTGAGCTCGTTTAAATGGGGCATGGCACGGTCCAAGCATGATTATTGGCGGGCCGTGCTAAACACAACATGAAAGCATGGGCTGTGCTGGGATAAGAAATTAAGCCTAACGGATCGGGTCGGCCCGTGGCATGACATGAGCCGTGCTTGGCCAAAACTCACTCAAAGCATGGCCCACTTAATTTATTTATTTTTGTCAAGGACCACTTTACATAAATCATCTCTTAGTTTCCTTCCCCTCTCAATATCTACATACAAGGATTTTGATTTGGTGGCTTCTTCCAACAAATCATAAATTTTCATATTAAATAAATCCTCAATTTTTTTTGTCTCATATTAAATCTTCAATTAAAAAATGCTACAAAAAATCCTCAATTTTTAGTCTCATATTACATATATACTAGCCACACATGTGCCAATTGGTTTTATTTTTTATTTTTTATTTTAATTTTAGAATTAAGAAAAGATAACATGGGTAGTTATGTTCCATAAAAATAGGACATACTATCTGATTTTGTTTTTAATTTTATTTTTTTAATATGAAAAAATATGAATTTACATATTATCCTCATTTAATTAATAATTTCAATTTTTAATGTTTGAATTAACCAAGGGTATTTTCTGGTATTTTGAATGTTTCACCATTCTCTTCCTTTTGCTTTATATATACTAGCCCCTTGGCACATGCGTGACATGCTTATGCATGTGCCAATTAGTTTTATTTTTTATTTTTTATTTTCTTTTTAGAATTAAGAAAAGATAATATAGGTAGTTATGTTCCATAAAAGTATGATCTATTATATGATGTTGTTTTTAATTTTAATTTTTTTATTATGAAAAAAATGTGAATTTACAATATTATCCTCATTCAATTAATAATTTTAATTCTTAATATTTAAATTAACCAATGACATTTTTTGGTATTTTGAATATTTCACCATTCTCTGTCTTTTGCTTTTATGTATATAGATAGAACAAAGGTATGAACATATTATAATTTTTTTTTGTTTATATTTAATATGCTAACATGATTAGCCTTAGACTTGGTCCAAACTTTCGATCCCTTTTTAGCATCTCTAACCGATGATCCTAACTGCTCTGTGAAAGTTTGAGTAGCCTCAACCCTCTCAGTCCTACCATCAATCCCGAAATTCTCACCCACCTATCTCAACGCATCAAATCTAGAACCCGTATTTCGACCTTCTTTTCCTCCAACTTCCTGAGTCACACCTTTAGGTCTCCTTTGATCTGGAACATTCATCCATGGCCCACACAAATTCTCAATACCATTATCAAAACCCTCTTTCCCCATTACAGCATCACCTCCTACCAAACCATCATTACCCATATTGGATCTAGCACCAGTCTTCTCCACAGGGGTAACATCTTGCACATCACAGTGTTCCCTTTTGTGACCATATCGACCACACATATAACAAATATTCGAAAGGCCTTCATACTCTACATTGTACCAAACGTTGTTAATTTGAACAAACGCCTCAAGAGGTCTAGACAAATCTAACTCTACACAAAGTCATGCAAATTTCCCTCGATTATGAGAAGTAGTGAGAGCATCAATCTTCAACAACTTCCCAATTCTTTTCAAAGCCCACACATCGAAACACTCCAATTGAATCGCAGAATCACGAATCCAAGCGGCCATTCGAGTGATCTTCTTAGTTGCAAGCCAAAACCCAGGGCCTCCATTTTTGCATAACCAAATACTGACCAACAACGATCCATGGTCCCCCAGTCAAAACGAAATTGAGATCCCCATCAAGCTCAAAATGAACCACGAAGTAATCATTGACCAAATTAATTTAGTTTCCAGCCTCTAGTTAGGCTCCATTTTTGTTGAAGTCGAGTATGGAGAAAGGTGTAGGTATGGATCTCCCAAGGAGCTTGATAATAAGAGCATTCTGTCTGGCATGATCTGAAAACTAGATACACGGCCCACGATCTCCACGAGAAACAGTCACGTCTTCATCGTCATTCAAACCCTCATATTCTGCCTCCAAAGAATTAACATCAATTCCAACATTTCGAACAAAATTTAACTCACTCTCCACATCCCCAACGTTCGCAGCTCGACTCCACTTGGGTAATCTGTAATGTTTAAGGAAAACTCCAGGCGAGCCTTCTTCCATGGAGAAACGAAGCCCAAAACCACAACAAACATCAGAAAATAATTAGATCTACATCGGGAAACCACTTTAGATGGCAGTTCCCAGTCAGCTGCGATGGAAAATGAAAACTCATAAAAACTAGGCTTGCGCGTGAAGCGCATGTAAAAATCTTAAATTTTCATATTAAATAAATCCTCAATTTTTTTGGTCTCATATTAAATCTTCAATTAAAAATTGCTACAAAAAATCTTCAATTTTTAGTCTCATATTACATATAAGAAAGATATGAACATATTATAATTTTTTTGTTTATATTTAATATGCTAACATGAGAAGAAGGCTGGAAATCTGGTACGAACAAGGCCCAAAGACTACTGAGCCCAATAAGTTTCGAAATGGGTCAGCATTGTCCAGAGCCCAATAAGGGATTGCTGCTTCTGCCGAGCCTGACTCAATTACCTTTCGTAGTAAGTAAGTAAAAATTATATTTTGGAAAAAATTATGAAAAAAGAGGTATAAAAAGGATAAAATGGGTTGTGATAAATCACTCCTTATCTTCTTACCATTTGGGCCGGTAAAAATATTGGTAGCTGGTAATTTCCAGACAACCTGAGACGGGTGAAAATTGCAGGGGACAGAAAAGAAAAATGTTACGCTCATTATTGAACTCCCATGGAAACTCGGGGGGGCTCTATCAACGATGATAGATCTTCACCTTCCCATCGCTTTCCCACTTCACCACTCCCTTACGGTTAGATCTTCGATCAGGTAAACCCGCCACGCCATGGAATCAGCTCTCTTATGTTGTTAGTTTCCTGTTTGAGAAAATGCATGTAAGATTATGATGATGGGTCTCTACAGACGATGGTAGAGATAGAATTATTGTTACCGGAGATGAGGACTAGAGGTCTAATAGGGGCGTTGTTGAAATATTTTGGTCCAAGTGAGCATGGCACTCGCCTTGTTCGTAAAGGAAGAAGGTTGGGTCGATTTGTCAGACACAAATTCTGGCTCTAGGGTGTTTCTCTTTGCAGCAATCTTTTTGATTTACTTGCTACTCTTCGGCCTCAACATGCATTTTGCTGGTATGTTCAAAACTTGAACTTTCGTTTATTTTCTTGTCTAATCATCTTGGTATTATAATGGGATATTTACAGATGTAGTTTATTACTCATTGCAGCTAAACTAGAAGGTAGTGGTACTAGTATCCGTATTTCAGCACGGCAAGAAATTTTTGCCATTTCATGTTGTTGGAAGACCACCCAGATGCAAGCATTGTAAGCAGTGTAAGTGTGAAGTGTTATATTTTCAATGTTTCATATCACAACCCTTGAGTTTATTATTGATTTAGTGCTTATGCATATGAAGATGTGATGTCTTTGTCTTTCTTGTTCGTTGGATTGTACAGAGATACAAAATTTAGTTTATCCCTATGGCTCATCCCATATAATGATTTTCCAGATTTGCCTTGCGAGGTTGGGTTTTTGGAATCAGTTGAGTATCTTGTTGAACCTAAGGAAGTCATGAACTTCACACTGTTTTCACTAGAGTTCATTGACCAAGAGGAAGAGGGAATACCTTCCCGTAGTAATATATATGAACCTAGATTTGGAGGACATTAGACACTTGAGGAAAGAGAGCAATCTTTCTTTGCGAAGAATCAAACTCTACATTGTGGATTTATCAAAGGACCCCCTGGATTCTCAAGCACTGGATTTGATATAGATGCGAAGGACAAGGCATACAAGAACGAGTGTAAGATTGCAGTATCTTCTTGCATTTTTGGAAGCTCTGACTTTCTTAGGAGGCCTACAAGCAAAAAGGTTAATGAGCTAGTCTTTATTGAACGTATTTGTCGTCTCATATTCATATAAAGCATATAATCAAATGTTTTTGGTTAAATAGTTATTTTTCCTCTTTCTGTTGGTTATGTATGAAATGGGATGATGCTAAAAGAACTTGCCATCATCCTGATATTTTGTTTGGCTAATAAACATTGGAGTTAGTAATTAGACCCCTTTGTGTCGGACAAGAAAATTAATAGGTGTAGAGTTGAAGATGACGAACCAAGTCCTCAGAAGAAGTAAAGTTTTCTTTCAGACAGCTCTTTTCATTAGTTTAATTTTACATAAAGGCAGCGTGATGACGAGGCATTAGAGGGCTTCTCATGAAGTATGGAGATAAAAAAGCAATTAAGTGAAGTTGTTATTCATGGAGAGCTTTGGTGCTATCTATGGTATGGCTGCGGATGAGTTTAAAGTATGATCTGATTAATGGCTGAGATACCTGCTGGGATGTTGTGAAGGTTGTGTAGATGATGTCTTATTTTTCCGATGACCTACTTTTGTTCTCAATCATCATATTGATTATTGATTGATAAAAAGCATAACTCAGCATACTTTTCTTGCACAAGGAACAACTAGATTATTTTATTAAGTTCATTCTTTTTAGCAATTTGCATGCATTTGTTGGCATTCTAATCATGTATTTTGAGTTTGTCGAGTTGAACCGTGTCCTGGCTGCATAATGCAGAACATACAATTGAATGTTTTTTAATGAGACAAATTATTAATTGAACTACTTCTCTTTGTTAAATTTTTTCAGGACTGTGAGCGCAGAGCACTACTAAAGCTATTCTGGCATAGGGAAGAGCCATCTCCTCCAGGACCTCCACCACCTGTTACTTGATCAGTAGTTATTATCTGCAGTTATTCTGGTAAGGTTAATTTGATGTTCAGTGTTTAGATTCCTAACAGTTTCTGATTGGACATTAGTTTGGTAAAAAGCCTCTGGTCCTATTTACCAAATTCATCAAAGTTTATGAAAGACCTTCCTCTGGTTTATGCATGCTGGGATGGAGACTGAAGTGAAAACCAAGCTAATGTCAGCTGCTCATCTCGCGAGATTGAATGGGTTAACTCGTTGTAGGCTTGTAGCTGTTGCTGAGCCTGAATGGCTGGTGGGTATTGTTGTTGTTGCAACTTGCACCTGACCATGTAGCACACAGAGAGGAATTTAATTTAGCATTACAAAATGATCCAAAGATCGAACGGCCACAAGTCTCAACTGCTGTTTCAAACGGGGAAAGGCAGACCAAGCAATGTTGTTGAGGACATTGGTAGGGAAAGGACATTGGTAGAGAAACTAACAGGTTGTAATATTCGTTTGTATATAACCCTATACATTTTTAATGTAGAAATTCTTTTAGCTCACCTCCAACACACGAAGGGATGAGAGCCGTTCTGTACTTTGTAGAAATTCATTAATATGTGACATTCATCCAAATATCTATGAAAACTCATGTGGTTCTAATCTCATCTGCAGCACTGGCGGACCCAATTAAGGACAACTGTAGGCAGCTGCCCACACTTACCAAAAAACCTTCAGCCATATAATCCTACTTAAATTCATAATTTTTAATTAATTTTAGGTCCCTTCCAAGTAAAGCCCCCACATAGCCCATTCAATACACACTTAAAGCCCAAAACTTATATTAAAAAAGAAAAACCCTAAATCCTATGTTAAAAAAGAAAAATAGAGATCCCACCAAGTTCACTCATTCTGTAATTTTGTGGAGAACTCAGCAACCAAACTCGTTATTTGACAGAAGTCTACAACCCAACAAATCAAATGGGAGACCAATGGATATTGTGAAGAACAACATGCGTAATCGAATGGGAGACCAATGGATGAATGATTGCATGGTAGTATATCTTGAAAAAGACATATTTAATAGTATTGATAATGAGCTTATTATGCAACGTTTTCAGAATATGAAAAGTCGTCGAGGACAATGGTAAATTTACTTATTAAACAATGCTATTAATATTTAAAGTTTGAAATATTTTTTGTTTGATTATATTATGGTTAAATTTTTTTAAGCCCCCAGATAAACGAAAGTCTGGGTTCGCCTGCTTGCTAGAAATACATACAAGATAAGTGGGCAAAAAGGTTTCCTCAATTGAAAAGTTTTTTTTTTTTTTTTTTTTTTTTTTTATTATTTATGTTTGTTTGAATACTTAAAATGTAGTGAATAACTAAAAATATGTCCATAAAAGCAAAAGAGCCTCACATAAAGTTACATCAAGGATTTAGAATTTAGCAGCTTCGAGTTTAAGGACACTAAGAAGGACATATCAACTTATCACTTGAAGTTTTGAAGTTGGATTCCCTGTCAACTTATCCATGGAACTTGGAAGACATATCATCAACTAACTCAACTCAATTCCCCAGAAAAAGACATAAATAAACGAACTACGTTATGAACTACCCAAATCAAATCGAAGTTGAAAATTGGAGATGTGGGTCCAAAGGCAAAGACTATACTTAACATTATCAACAAGACAAAAAAAAACTCCGCTGAACTGAATGAACTAGGTTGACTTATCCTTTTTCTTTTTTTGGTCCGATGATGACTTATCCTTTTTTTGTTATAATTACAACAACAATTAACACGTGCGGATACAAAGACAAAGAAAAAGGGATTTTTCTTTTAATTATTTTATTTTTATATTATTCCAGTTTCAAAATAAATAATAAAGCGCCTTTTTTCTTTCTCTCAACCCAAACCCAACAGCTAGTTTCTCTTCTCTCTTTTGTCTCTTCTTCCTCTGGTTTTTCCGTACTGCGTTCCCCTACGTGAACGAACGACGATCTGCTATCACCAGTAAGCCAAAGCCCCGGACATGGAGACTGATCCTCCAAAGCAAACCAAAGCAACGGACAAGGAGACTGATCCTCCGAAACAAACCAAAGCCGCGGACAAGGAGACTGATCCTCCGAAACAATCCAAAGCCACGGACATGGAGACTAATCCTCCGAAGCAAGCCAAAGCCACGGACAAGGAGACTCATCCTCCGAAGCAATCCAAAGCCACGGACATGGAGACTAATCCTCCGAAGCAAGCCAAAGCCACGGACGTGGAGACTGATCCTCCGAAGCAAACCATAGCATCATCTCAAGACCATCTCCTCCAGGTCCCCATCTCTTCCGAGGTATTCTTCCACATCCCTCGATACCCATTTGGCTGCTTTTTCATATAATTTGTTTCTTGAAAAAGACCATCTGTTTTCTTTAAAAAGATTATGTTTTTGCTTATTTGAAGAATTTAGGGCTTCCCTCTTGTCTGTTGAAATCTGTATAGGGTTCTTGATTTGTATGCACTCTTTCTGTTTGTAAGGTGTACCATGAGACATCCTGACAAAAATCCTGGTCTTGATCTGTATGCATTTTTTCTGTTTGTATGCACTCTTTCTGTTTGATCTGATTACAAAAATCCTCCACAAGCCAATTCGTCCTGTACCATCAGGTTCATCTACAAACATCACAAACTTCATTTATAATCTTTTTTTCTCTTCACACTGCCTTTCTGCAAAATTAAACTACTGAAAAGTTCTAATAGTCTGAAAAAAGATAAAACTCTACATGTTCTGACCTGGTTTTTTCGTATGCTTTATAAGAATAAGAGTTCAATAAGGACTAGCGCATTAACCTTTTTGCTTGTAGGCCTCCTTAGAAAGTCAGAGCTTCCAAAATTGCAAGAAGATACTACAATAGTACAGTCGTTTATGTATGCCTTATCTTTCACATCTAAATCCATTCTGAGCTTGAGAATCCTGGGGGTCCTTTGATAAATCCACAATGTAGAGTTTTATTTTTAGCACAGAAGGATTGCTCTCTTTCCTCAAGTGTCTGGTGTCCTCCAAATCTAGGTCTAACAATATTTTCTTGATATGACTCTTTATGTTTATAATAATATGTACCATGAGTTGGTTATTAGACTTTGTTTACTTGTGGTCTATATTCTTGGGATATGCACTTGTTCTTGCATTATGAAGTTTCCTTTATTCATGTTTCCGTTTTTAGAATTTATATATTTATCCATATTGGAAATTCTCCTCAGCTGGCTTCAATTTTTGCACCTTTATTGCATTTTTAACATAACCAAGGCATGTTTACCAGGTCTCCTTTCTTGGGTGCATATATATTTGGCAAATTGTGGGACCTAATATCAAAGCTGAGGTAGTAAGTGGGTTAATTGGGTTGTATTTTGGGATTTAGAGGCCCGGGTTGAGAATTAGGGTTAATTGATTGCTTTGATAGCCCCTCTGGTCTGTTGTCCTCATATGCTGCACTCTTTTATTTGTTATATGTACCAAAAGTAGCTCTTTTATTTATTTATATATTTTTTAAAAGTAGCTGTCAATCAAGCTATTCCAGCCACCATATCCTCTCCTAATGAATCATCAAATCCCACCGATTGCTACCCTGCTTGATCTTGTGAATCACACTTTGTAATTTACCAAATATAGCCTGATTGGAAGTCAACTATATTCCTTATATATTGTACATCTGTATCAACGCATGAATAGATGAAATTCACATTCTTTACAGTAGCAGATAGATACAGAGGGTTCTTGATCTGAATGCACTCTTTTTTGTCTTGTTTTTGGAATTTATAAATTTATCCATATTGGAAATTCTCCTCAGTTGGCTTCAATTTTTGCACTTTTTATTGCATTTTTAACCTAAACAATGCATGTTTAACACGTCTCCTATAGCAGGTGAGGGCCAATTGGATGCATGACCTTCCCATGCACCTTCTTGAGAGCATACTATCAGACTTACCTGTAAAGGAATCAGTGTGCACTAGCTGCATGTGCAAACCGTGGCATGATCATTTGTGGAGTTCTGTTTCTGCAGATGACACCTCTAAGTCTACTGAATCAGACTTCAAAAAGTCACTGGAGAAACTTCTTCAGAATCCGGCGTATTTCCTTAACGTCAGGTTAAGATGCACAAAATTTAAAAGGCACTCCTTCCTGCATGAGTTTCTTCGGGAACTGCTGAAAAAGAAAGTAATCATCCTGGAAATCGCAGTGGATCGTCATGAGAGTTTGGGATTTTTCCCCATCCCACCCGAAGTCTTTACAAGCATGCATCTTAGGGTCCTGAAGATAGCAAGCGCCAGAATTATTCTGTCTCCTCCAGGGACTTTCACAAGGTTGAGCGCTATACAAGTCGATGTATCTTGGTCATCGCATGCATCTGTCCTTGACTTCTACAAGTGGTGTCCGGTGCTCCAAGATCTGCAAATACAAGGAAAAATTATGAGACTTCCGGACAAAAAGCAGAAATTCCAAATAAGGTCTCAGAGTCTCCTTAGACTAAAAATTAAACTGCATCTGCACAAGATACAGCTTAACAGAGGACAAAGAGTTTACCTTTCTGCTGGAAACCTCTACGAGGTTGAAATTGAAGCCCCACAACTAGAAGTTTTGGATATAGATGAATCAATTTTTGCCAAGTTCAAGATCGGAAACTTCAAGTATCTCCAAGAAGTTAAGCTTCAAAGTGGCTTCTACGAAGCTAAGAGACAGCTAGGAGAAGTGGGAGAACTTCTCGTCCTTTCGCGAGGGGTATTTGATACGATTAACAAAGCATCGTTATCTACTAGCTGCCTAGTTGTGGGAGACGGTGCTTTTGGGGTATGTTTTAGTTTATATTTTGTATTTTCTGTTTTGAATGAAATGTGCGTGTTGTTATTAATTAATGTGCTCATTTTATCTTTACAGGCACTGAGTTTTACGTTTATGGACTATCTTTTTAGTGGTAATGAAGGTGCAATCCGAGACAAATTTCGAATGACATTTCCAGATTTCTATTGTGTCACGAGCTTGAGACTGTGTATAGCAGATTCTGCCGGTTGGGTGTTCATGCCATACTTGCTGGCACACCTTCCTACTTTACAAAGATTGGATCTTGAATTTGTAGATAGGGAAGATGTTCGAAGGGGCAAGAAATTTGACTGGAATCCCCCAAAAGATTGTCTGGGATGGTGTTTGCCAAGCCTTAAACATGTTCGATTGATTGGATTCGGTGAAAAAATGATGGAAGAAGCTGGTCTAATCTTAGCTTTTGTGAGGGAGGCTGCCACCGAAGAACGCTTTGAAGAAATAACCATCACCTATGTATAGAACTGATCATGAGGAAACACGAATCTATATTGATTGTACCAGTATTATTAGGGAACCTCACTGCTTGCATAGTTTGTTGTGTATACATATATTGGTGTGCCTTATTCTTTTGTTTTCTTCTTCGAATGAGTTTTAAAACTTAGTTGTGGAATTGAGAATTCATGTATCGAGATAAAATCTGACAGCAGCTTCAATTTGGTTTGAGCATCTGATATGGAGCAACTGTTATGGGGGCTTACTTGCTCATTTGGTCTCATTTTCACTAAATTGTTTTCCAGTTCCTGTTCATGCTGTGGTGATCAACATTCTGGTGGGGTCATATTATTCGATCTCTGGTTAATAAATTCTTTGGTTTTTTCGTTTACAGCTCAATAATTTACGGATAAACTAGACTTGTGTTGTGTCTCTGGGATTTATCATGCATGTGTTCTGAATCTCAAGCATTTATGCCCCAACAACCTTCTCTGTCTTGAATTACAGCTTCACCTCATCGACATGCACAATTGCACATGCTTGTCTCCTTACCTCTACTCTGTCTTCTCATGCCATTGTATTGTGTGTTTTGTAACATATTGCAAAAGAATTACTGCTAGAAAGTTAGAAACTTTCTCTGCAGAACAGTCCCTTCATATTATTGTTTTGTCCATTTGGGCTTAGTTCTAGGAATGAAATGATAAAAGCTGCTGAAAAAGGTGACCTGTTGTTGCAGTGTGCTTGCTATTTTTCTACATCCAAAAGACTGGTCCAGGCTTTTGAAATAGAAGGCACAAAATGGTACAGTGTATTTACAAGGTAGTTGCAGATTTTGACTGAAGCAGCCAGCACATCCAATTATGTTCTAATCTAATGGGTATGAATGTTTCACGGGGAGCATGTCAATTTCGGACGACATTCCTTTGCTTAAAAATTGAAAGCTCGGCATTAAATAGCTGGATAATGGAAAAGAATAAGATGCAGCTACAGATATAAATGACTAAATTGATTGAGTTATTAGCAAGACTTTGGAACTTTATACTCGGAGATACATGGGAACCTTTCTGGCTTCTGGCTGGCCCCCTTCATGGTTGAACTATTTTTTTTTGAACCTTATGGAATCTTTCTAGCCCCTGGAGGGTCCCTAAAGTAAAGCAATTTATGTGTGATTATTGAGTTACAGAATTATAATGTTGCTTCTTCAAATAAAAAAAGGAAAAACAAATCCATCCCTGATGGACCTGATGGGGAGCTTTCTGTTCATACAATTTCTATGCTCCATTTTGTTTCTATTAAATTTTGAGGCATGTGAAGGATGAAAAAAGTGTAGAAGAGTTGTTAACTGTTTAACTCGTGTATGGTAGTTTAATTAGTCGAATGTGCTTTCCTTTTTTACAGCTTACACAGCCGACAATCAAAAAGGATGTGGTCGTTAAGTGCCTAGAGCTTTCTAAATTTGGTATATATCACCTCAGATGCGGTCCTCAGAGGAAATATGGACAAGATGTTTGACAACTCAATCATGTTAGGTTCCAGTTTTGAGTTGCTTCTTTGTGAAGCGCATTGAAAGTGGAGTGTTAAGGGCCCCAGGTTTGATCACAAAGATACAAGAAAAAGAAAGCTAGATTTGTAGCCTTGTAAGGATGTCATGGCGAAGGAAGGAAGCATTTGAAAACTGAAAAGTAACTTTCCTATTCACGTCTGAAGAAAGGTGCCTCTCTGCACACTTGAGCCAAAGCCTGTCAAATTATTAAGGGAAGTCTCAGCTTGAAACCTTGTTGCTGGCACGAATGCTTCTGGCCTGCTGTGGCGCATCATCTGTTGGTCGAAGTTGGTCTTCTCATGATGATATGTTTTGTGGGCATCTCCTGCAACTTTGACAGATTTTTGGCTCTTACAACCCAATAGAGCCGCTGGACGATGCCTTGGAATATCTTTGTTCATTCTTGCTTTGGCATTTCTGGTGTTGTTTGGAACCATTTTCATCGGACTTGGCCTTTGCTGATCTTCACAGTCTGGCAGTGACCACACTCCACTCTATGCTTGCCTCACTTGGGGCATAACAAGTTGTTGGGGTCATGCAACCAGATGTTGCAGCATCTGATGCCTGCCTTGCAAGAAAAGGGTTGGCTTTGCCTGTCAGGCTCTCTATCTCAAAAAGATCTGAACTTGCATCACTATCTGACTCATTATGGTAGATCACTCCACCAGAGTTTGCAGGAAACTCATCCCAAGGCAGCATTGAAAACAACCAAAGACAGCTACAATGGCCCTACCTCTCTAAAAGACCCACTTTAAGTATTACATCACCTAGGTTTTAGTTAGCCTTCCCAACAAGTTGAAGGAGCTTCTTTTTATGTATTGTGAAAGTTCCAGTTTTCTACATGCCACGATTTATATCCGCAGACTCTTCAACCATCCCATCAATCAACCTAGAGAGAGAGAGAGAGAGAGGAGAGGAGGAGAGAGAGAGAGAGAGAGGGGGGATAGAGAGAGAGATTTAGATTGCAATAATCTGCCATACAAGTTCTCCAGAGAATTTGAAATGCAGCAGTGCTGGTTTATGTAAAAAGCAAGATAGAAACACAATGCTGTATAAGAATGACCACATACCTCTTCATACGGTGGAAAAAATAACAAATAAACAAAGAATAGCTAGCTGATTGGCAAACTAACCTGAGGAGTTCCTAAACTACTGATTCAGGATAACATATTTAAAATTGCTTAAAGCAAATTAGTATAAAAATCAGTCCAAAATCCCTCTTATTACTGCTCATAGAAGAAAAAATGAATGCATCGAACTGCCTAATGCCCCAAAGATGATTTCTTTATATCTATATATCATGAGATGAGACATGCAGAGTATCTTAAGATGGAAATTTAATTACAACAAGAACTTCAACAGTGTTGAAGAATTCACATTTGACAGCAAACAATTGGAAAGAAGAGACCGGTCGCTTATGTTATGGCGACCGATCCGATTTGTGAATTCAGAGCATAGAATAGAAGTATTGAATTGAAACAACGACTAGCAGATAGTCAGCATGTTGAAAACAAAAGCATAAAGAAATGTTCATTAAGGAACGTCATTAGCTAGAAGAAAAGAAACTATATGTAATGTATCTTCATTTGCTACACCTACAGATGAGTGAAATATTCCAAGAAATACGTTTGTTTGTTTTGTAATGTTTGTGATGAGCAAACAACGGCAAAAATTATCATCAGAGTCAGAGGAGAGGGAAAAAAAATTAATGTTCCTTATGATTGATACAGGACAGGTGGACAAATTGGCTTGTGGAGGAGAGTCATAGTTTTTGGTTTAGTAGTGAAGAATTTACCATTCTGCACTGGCAGGCATTTTGTTATCAGTACAGTAAGTAAAGATTAGCTTTTCCCTTCTTCTGGAATCTATATATAGATATGATCTTCTTATATGCAGACTACGTTCCTGAAGGTTCAGGTTTAGGTTCAGGTTCATTCATATTCATATCATAGTGCGGGCAGGCAGGCAGGCAGACAATTTCAAATTTTATTATTTTCATGCGTTGCCTTCACTTTCTTCGGTTAATTAATATTCTTTCCTTTCCAGGACTAGCAAAAGCTTTCCGTCATAGCTATACCTGTTATGTTACTTGAGTAATGGTTGTTTTGTTATAATAATTAATGGTTTATGTATGCTGGTAATGTAAGGTTAATTTGATGATTCTGTTCTGTGTGCCTGTGTTTTTGGTTTCCTTATTTTTCAGCTTTTGTTTGTGCATTTGCATTTTAATGTCTACGTGATGCAGAGCAGACATGTCTGAGTGAGGACATTACATTTACATTACTAGTCTAGGAGTGTAGGAGTTATTTTCCCAACTAAAATTCTATATATTACTAAAACCCAATGCAACTAAACACTGTAGCTTAGCACTGTGAAATGACGAAACTGCCCTCTCTTTTTACTGTCATAGCTATACCTGTTATGTTACTTCATTAATGGTTGTTTTGAGAAATTAAATAAAGAAAAGAAAGAGGGATAGATAAGTGGGAGATGGAACATTATTTTTTATTTTTATTTTACTTTTAATTTTATTTATTTAGCTCTTTACTTTTGTTTTAATTAAAAAAATAATATATCATATATAAGAATGTGTGCAAGGAAGCTTAAGTCGGACTTTTGAATTCTTTTTTTTTTATTTTTTATTTTTTTTATAATTATTGTGCTAATTTTGATGTACATGGATTTAGAATCTCTTCATCCAAACGAAGCCTTACAAGAGGGTGTACATATAACACGTATCTAAAGTGGTGGAAATATAACACGTATATAACACGAATCTCTTCATCCAAACGAACCCTAAACAAACACATTTGCCAAAAAATATATACTCTTAAAGTTATAAACTATTATGTTTAATATATTTTTTCGGCAAGGCCTATTTTAGTATATATGAATATTTGTATGTGACCTAAGAAATGAAACATATATAACACCTATACACTAAAAATAATGCAATTATCATAAGAAATTCGAAATTTTCTAGAAAACTATGGAAAAATCAAATCGGAATGGGTTCGATAAACTTCAGAATTTTTCGGATCGGAATTGTAGAATTTTCGGCATTTATCATAAATATTGGATTCGGCATTTTTGAATATCGGATTTATCAGAGTCGGATTTTTTTTGTAAATATTCGGACCGGAATCGGATTTTCCAATCCAACTTACACCCCTAATTTCTTAAAAAGCAAACTTGAAAACAAGAAGGTGGGTTTGTATGTGCTGCCTCCCCGATTGGATCTTCATTGGAGCTCTCTCACAGCTCAATCATTCTTTACTTCATGAATTCACACGTACGATTTGGCCTTCCAAATTTCATTGACAGATCTTCTGACTTGACTTGGATTTATTTCACTTCCTCAAAGAAAATCATGGGTTTCAATAAAATTTTGGAAGTCATATGGACAGAGGAAGAGTATAAGGGGAGAGAAAAAATAGTGGGAGAGGGTGGGGGGTTGCAGGTGAGGGTTCGGGATGCAGCTATG